GGGGGGGGGGGGGGGGGGGTCCCCAATATAGAAAAAGGAAAACGCTGGATGCAGAGGTTTATCGATCGATTCATGCCTTTGATGTCTCCACAACATCAAATTCCCATGAAGAGATCGATGAACCGCTGCCTCCAGCGACTCCCCGTTCCTCGGGTTCCCAACCCCAAAGAGTCAACGGAAAACTTCATGGAAAAAACAGAACAAAAAAAAAATCTGAATCAAGCAACGCAAATCACAGATCTGAGAAGTCGGCAATAACACAACCGAAGGAAACCAAAAGTGAATCGTTAGCTCAATCTCCATTGCCTAAACTCAAAGGACAGTATACACACACACACACACAGAGGCGACGAAGAGACATATACCCAGAAGCGCTCATGCGCTCATACATGAATATAGAGGCGTGCATACAAACATGCATGTACGAATAACTGGAGGTGGAATCATCGGGGACTTTCAAGAGAATTAAAAAAAAAAGCACGAATCCAAAAAAAAAACCCGAAAAGAGCAAGAAAGTTTGAACCAGGAATCTGATGAGTCACGTTTCCCCTTTACCGTACATCTCTCTCTCCTTTGAATCCTCACGGCAGACATAGTGGATGGATGATCCAGCGACAAATGGCAGTTTCTAAAATAGTTGTTCGTAACTTCGTATTCCGTGCTGAAAATAATGATGTATTTTTTTTTTTTGATAATCCAAAATAATGATGTATTATTATTATTGTTATTGTTGTGGTTATTATTAATGACCCAAACTAGAGGAACAAAATAATCCCATATCTTAGCAATCGGATTCAGATTTAGAATTATTAGTTTTATATTTCGAATTTTAAAATTTTAAAATTTTTCCTTTTTTTTGCTAATTGGTGACCCAGAAATAAGCTTTGCAAAAATTACTCCAATTTTGAAAATTGCAAAATATCTCTAATATTTATAGAAGTTGCCAAATTAATTTTTTTCAATCAAAACTCGGATTCAAAAATCCAAAAACTGCGATATCCAAAACCGAAAGCTCACATGGACCAAATCTTAAAATTTAGTATCGAAATCATTCCAACCCTAAAAGATTAATCCGTAGTATCCAACCAGTCGGACATTTTTTCTTACTTCAATTTAAAAAAGACTCGAAATCTTAAAAACAAAAACTTAAAAGCTATAGCTCTTGTTGAGAAGGGCACTCCGGCCTGAATTTGTTGAGTCATAGCTTTCACCGCTTCTCTGTGTTTGCAAACTCGATACATTTTCTTCAAACGGGCTAATGGTAATGCCGTGAAGAAGAAGAAGAAGATTTCTTGCTGCTAAGGTGATGCTTTGAATGCTTCTTCTTATCCCGCCTCTTTCTTCTTGATCTTGCTCTGTGTCTATCCCGACTGCTGTAATCGTCGCTCGAATCTTCTTCACTCTCCGAACCACTGCTGCTATCCCGTTTCGAACGCTTTCTCCTTCTCCGTCTCCTCCTTTCTTCCCCTGAAGTTTCACTGCTCCACCTATCTCGAGATTTCTCTCTCCTGTTCCTTCTCTTTTGTTCTTCTTCATGCGCTACCCCGTCTTCTTCTTCCGACGTTTTTCTCAACCTGGGGTTATCATTTTGGTTCTCAAACGATTGTACTCCCTCTGGTTTACCCTTCCAGGTCTTTTCTTCTTCCACCATTTGCTTGGCAGGATTTGATCTTTCTGGGAATGCTGTAGCAGCATCAGGGGGAACTTCAAGACCTAGCTCTTTACCTAATGATTCTAGAAAGTCGCCCGCAATTAGACGGTTCAATGTCTTGGCCGCTGCTTCATTATTCTTCTCCTTCTCCTCTTGCCTCTTTGTACTCATTTCTGCTGCTTCTGCTTTAGCTTCTTCTTCATCTTCAGAATCATCGGAGAAAATGGCCTTCAAAAAGTAAAAACATAGTTGTGTGTTATCCAACGGCTTGAGAATTTCCATCGCATTAATCAATCACACACAAACACTCTGGCTGTTACCTTGTAGAGGTCGACAGGTCTCTCCACATTTTCCACTTCCACCTCAATTTCGGGTTCTTTAGCAGCCGAGCCTCTGTTTGATTCTTTCACATTGGGGGCTTGGTGGTGCCCATAAAGGCTTTCTCCCAAACTAGATTCAGCCTTCACATTATCCGGTAAGAAAACCAGAGATTCCATTTTGCTTTTCGGTCGTGGAGCAGGTGGCGGCTGCCAAAAAAGGTAGGAAAAACATGTTTTTTTTTAAAAAACATGGGGAATATGTTATTTATAATTTGGAAAGCAACAACTCTCTCCTAATTTATTTTTATCTGGAACCAGATTTAATGTACATCTAATCATATGCTTTAAACAGCAAGTGCATCTCGTCATTATACGCCCATTCCTATTTCTAAATGAAAGAACGGGTAAAAGGAAAACTTACTGCAGGAGCTATTCATGATCCACAGATTGCAGTAAATTCAGTTTGATGTTAAGAGGATAAAGCTAGGGTTTCTAGCCCTTCATCAAATACCTTTTTGACGTTAAACAGCATATGAGAGATGACAGGAATAGACGAAGCAAGAACCGGTTGTATACCTTTCCCATGTAAGGATCGGGGAGATCAAAACGTTTGCACAAAAGAGGTGCCGGACGCCAGTGGAACTCTTCTCTTTTGGGGTACATCTTCTTTAACTTTGTATCATCAGTCTCAGCATCTTTACCTCTCTGTGAATTACAACTTTTACGTATAAGCATCAAAACTAAGAAACCCAAAAAAGAAAGAGAGAGAGAATGAGGGTTTCAGGAAACATGCCTCGACCCCACCAGAAGTGAACTGAAGCGCTCCAGCCAGAAAGTCGAGCGGTCGTTCGGTAGCAGGTTTGTATACCTTCCCTTTCTCAAGTGCCTCTGCTGCAGCCTCAAAATCCAATCTTTCAAGGGCCCGAGCAGCATCTGACATACTGTTGACTCTGCTGGAATCTGTTGAACGCAGGCCTCCTTGGTACTTCTCCTTGAGAAACTGCTCAAATCTTTCTTGTTTTGCAGGATCATCTTTAAAGGGTTTCACGGCTTCCACAGCCTCTTGCTATTTTAAAGGAAACAGAGAGAGGAAGAAGAGGACATAAGTTAGCAATTTCAGTTTTAAGTGGAATTACTTCTTTGAAATACACCTACATATTTAATGTCAAGTTAGATTTTAGACAAGTAACTTACAGAAGACTCTGGTTTGGTAAATGTGTCGGAGAGGTTCGACGGGAATTTGAAGGAACCTCCTCCTGAAGAAGCAAAGGCACTTGCATCTCTCGAACTTCTTCTCTCCAAAGGCTTTTCCCCTAGTATTCTACCACGTGTCTCAGCGGTAATTTTCTGCATACTCTGAGATGACTTGCCGTCCAATGGCAGCTTATTTCCAGCGCTACGCTTTTGATGCTCCTCCCACAGCCTTCTTGCATAGTAGTCATGACCATTTCCTCCCCGTAGAAAATCAAACAATGGATTCGATCGGTTCTTCTCACTAGAAAGATCCTCGAAAAGTTTCCCACAACGGGAAACAAGAGTTGCGAACCCCTCGATCAAGAGTTTCAAATTATTATCTTCAGGAGGAGGAACAGCAGGAGGAGCAGAAAGAGCTGCTTTAATGTCGGTCTCAAGAGGACCATGAAATTTATGGCGAGGCACATAGTCCTTGGGAATTTTGGGAGGATCAAATCTGGAATAATACACATACCACAATAATATGGGTTAGAACAGCCATTTACACAAAAAAAAAGTAAATAAACGGCATAGAAGTTCTGATTAAGGGGTTATTCATAGCACCCCTGGAGATGAAAATCTATTCATGTTGATAAAGGGCATTGTATAATATATACACATGTTACATCCATTTGAGTTACCTCTCCACAATGTAGTCGGAACTCGAAGCAACTCTGAAACCTGGCAGGGCATCATGCTCTTTTGAAGTTAACCTCAGCCTATTTTCAGTGCTATGTCTTGACGGCCCCTCCTCTTCTTCCACATACGTCTCCTCGAAATCAATACCTGAATGCAAAAAAATGAACTGGAGATTGATAAATATAACTATAACAGAATTCAGAAAACAGATGATTAATAAATCTAAAAAAACTAGCACTTTAGAAAGTATAAAACTAATTCTTTGAATATTTCTACCAATGCTATCAAACACTAGTTCTTTTTCCATTTTGAGTTCTTTTTTCCCCTACACATGAATGTTGCAATTTAATCACAAGAAACAACATTTTGTTCTTCCTGTAGGTCTGGAGAATTCGTAGCCAATAGAAGAAACGTACATATGTACTGACAAAACAACACAATCAAGATTAGGGAGGGACCTAATCAATGTGTCCTCACCAGCATAGATATCTTCGTCCTCGATATCAAGCTCCTCAAGCGCTCCGATTCCAAAACCCGGAGCAATTTTTCCTGCTG